TCTGAAGACATCATGGAAAACATACATATTTACATTATATATATAACGATTGTGAAAGGCTCAAAATTGAAACAACATTTAAAAATTAAAATAAATTTAATACTTAACTTTAATATCAGTTGATTAATTTGTCTGTCAAGTTTCATGATATCTTGCCAATTCACGAAATGTAGTTGTTTTCGAAACGGAAAAGTTTATTCGCACATAAAAATAAATTGAGGATAAAATTTGCAATCGATTTGAAGAAACCCTATTCCTAGATAGGGGTCGTAGACCGTAAAAACTGTTTTACCAGCAAAGATATATTTCTTCCAGTTACAGACTACGATTCCGTTCTCATTTGAGTTGAAATATTTTCTTTTTTAATCACCGTGAAACAATAATAAATACTTGATGATACCTTAGGTCATGAAGTAATTAAGAAAGTATATTTAATAATAAACAATTAAAATCTCCAACTTTATGGTTTCCTTTTAGACTTTTTAGTTAAAATTCAAATTGTTTCAATTAAAGCTGTTTTGCCCTACAATATTTACAAGTTTTTGCTTTCGCTCATTCTCACATACCTGCAGTCATTGATTTAGCAAATATAAAGTGATTCGGCCAGGATCTAAATTACCCCTTTCATTATAAAATTTTAGTACCTATCGTTTATTTTTTACATGTTCTGCAATTAATTATTATTAAAAAGTTAAGAAATAAAAGTCGTGCAGTTGCTAGCAAAAGGTAAGAAAATTTTTATTACACATTCTACTAAAGAAAATAAATATAATTTTACTGATGTACGAATATTATTTTAATTGATAAATTTCACTAGAGTTTACATTATCAGAATTCATAAATATTTTGAGAATTATCTCGAGTAGAAGTCAATGTACAATTAAAATATTCATATGAGCAAATAATGAACATTTTTAATTTATTGTCAATATTAAATTTAAAATATCAACCCATTTATGACATGTGTTACAAAAAAAAAACCAAAATCGATAGTGACTTTTGAAAATTTAAATCAAGACAAACTGTCAGAATAATTTTTATACCTTTATACAAGATTATAAATAATGAGACAATTTGTTCAAATTAGTAAATTTTCCAATATTAGAAAATTAAACTCGGAAATTGCAAATTTGTTAGAATTGTCACGATATAATGTTAGAAATATAGTTGCAAGATATAAAAATCAGAAAAATAATATTGTTATTTATACAGGGTGAATCACTTAGAACGCCACATTTTTTCCAAAAGTATCCTCTACAGTCCTGCCTAACTTAAATAATTTGTAGAATTTTCGTCGAAAAATCATCACATTCAAGCCGCTGTAAAAACCTTTCACAAAAAACTAAATTTGTGGGGAAAATATTCAACTTGTGGTGCTTGAACAAGTTGAACGGTGAAAGGGATACATAGATTTTCCCGTATTGTTGTATACACTTTTCTTTGACTTATCCCACCTGATCTCAAGGGCGTAGATAAGGAGGGTATTTTTTTAAACGTTATATTAAACAAAAATAGAGAGATAAAATAAATACAATAAAACAAAAGTTATTCCTGCAAATTGAAAATTAAAATTTATATACAGTCCCATTAGTGCGTAATTCTTCAATATTTCAATTTGTGTTATTGACAAACAAGTTTTAATAAAAGTTATATGGATTTGAAAAATACATATTTTAAAAATATTTTTGGATATACAGGGTGTTGCGTTTTTGCCTGACAAATCAAAATGTTTTTTAAATAGAACATCCTATATTTTATTTTATTTATAGAATGGTTTGGGAATATTGTATTAAACCGTAGAATGTTTTTAAAAAATATTACAGTTTTGCCAAAGAATAATTTTTTTTTTAAATTATAGTATAATATACAAATTCCAAATTAAATTATCATAATTTAGGTTTACATTGATTTCAAAATTGTTTACTATACAGACTTATAAAATACTAAGCTAACGAATAAAGGTGAGACAACTGGTTTATTTTATACAGAGTGTTTTGAAACATATCTTAAATATGGCTAATTTTAAGTTCAATTCACTTAATTTTTCAAACGCAACACACTGTATATTATCTTCGCATAAATTTGCCTATGCAACATTACCAATGTCAATAACACATATACAGGGTGTCTCATCAGTGCATAATTGATCGATAGCTGTTTTATTATTAGAAGTACGAAGAAATATTTAATATAAAAGTTGTATGACCATATTTAACAAATATTCTTAAATATACAGGGTGATCCATAAACGAGGTGCTGACCATAATATTTATTAAACATGGTCATACAACTTTTATATTAATTTGTTTTTCCTATTTCCAATAATAAAACAGCTATCGATCAATTACGCACTATTGGGACATGTTGGTATCGTGGGATAGGTAAATTTATAAGGAATTTTATGCGAAAATAATATACAGTGTGTTGCATTTGACAAAATTGAGTAAATTGAACTTAAAATTAGCCATATTTAAGACATGTTCCAAAACACTCTGAATAAAATAAATCAGTTCTATCACCTCGGAAATAGAATGGTCTACAAAGTCTCTTTTTTGTGACAAATGGCGTGATAAATATTTATTAATCTTAAGTTTTATTAAATATAGGGTGTTCAAGAAGTTTTGAATAAAATTGTCTCTTTGGCCCTTCATTCTATACCAATGGGTTATGGTAATTCATCGAAATAGAGTGTGTTAACTAATAATAACGATAAACTATCATATACATATTTAAAGTCTTTGCTATAAGGGATGATATTTAGAAAATATGTATTTATGAAATTCACTTTATCACCCTGTAGATTGAAAACTGGGACGTTTACAGAAATCTAGACGTTGCATTGTTACCATATTTTAAGATAACACGCTGCGCATTCACCAATAATGTGAGAAGTGTTACCCCCCAAGAAAACAACCTAGCTACGCGCTTGCCTGATCTGCAATCACCTGCGTAATTGTTAAATTTTCTTCGATAAAATTTAAAATTTGTTGTTCTAAAAGTAATTTTCAATTTTAATTTACAATAACTGGTACACAATCAATCGTCATTCGTGAGAAAACAGAAAAAATAGATAAAAATGTAAACAGACTTATTAAACAGCTTAACTTAATTTTTGAGTTTGTTTGAAAAAGATGTTAATTTTAACGATTTCTATAAATACATGTACAACGTTCTTTCAGAGACTTTTTAACTAAAACTACAAAAAACAGGAAACTAAAAAAGTCCTGCCGATATAGATATATGTTCAATAAAGGTTTTTGGTGTATCTGATTGAAAGGAATCGTTTAAAACTAATTCCCAAAATATGGTAATTTTTACGATAAAATAGAAAGAAAATTATGCCAGTAATAATTACCCGATGATGAAAATGCTTGTTCTTTGAATAGTGTGTATGTTAAAGCAACAAATGGCACTGAGAAGATCTAAATCAATCGCGTCAATTTCCTTAAAAGGTCATTGAAGTAAATTTTTGAAGAAATTGAAAGCAACCATTTTTAATAAATATTATCTTGCACATAAAATAATACTTCCTAAATTTGCATAACAATTGGAACTTCGCTAGTAGATGGTGCTACATTCGTTCATTATGTAAAATAAGACTTTTCATCACAATTTCTCTGTGCGCATGCGTCAGTATCAGCCATCTTTTTCGTACTGTTTTTTGTAAACAAGCATGTTAAAATATCCACGTGAAAAAAATTATAATCGATAAATATTAATTTAAGTATATTCATTAAAAAAAAAGGAAAAAATAATGTGTCTTAATTGAAAAATAAATTTTTGCAATCATTTAATTATGTTATCTGTACTGAAAGAAAAAACAAAACGGTATTTTTATGGAGTGTGTAAAAGTGATACACTGTATAAATCATTCAAAGGTAATACATTCATATTTTATAAATTTTCCAAAGACTTGCCTGCAATATCGTAAAAAATTATCAATTCATTAGGAAAAATTCATATTAAAACAAGTTCAAAATAGATGAAAAAATCACGGGTGCATGGGTAAAGGGGCATTAGTCATAAATCACAAAATTCAAGAAACAAGCAATTTAAGTTTGAAGATTTGTGTATAATCTGTATGTACATATTTTTTTTAATTGTTGCCATAGTGTAAATAGAAATACATTCTTTAGGAAAATAGGCAGGCAGAAGTTAAAAACATTTATTTTATTAAAATAAAAATACAAAATTAAAAAAAACATGTGACTTATGTCACATGTCACAAAAAACTGACTTATGCTTTTTGGCACTAAAAAACTACAATACATTAAAATGAAAAACATTATGTAACTAAAAAGACAACTTAAAAAATGGAAACTACTGTTCCTCAGAATCTTCTGGTTCAGAAACATCTGCTAAATCAGGATTAACATCCACCACATCTTCAGCAGTCTTTAAATTTTCGTAAAAATCCCAAAAAGTACGTGATATAAATGGTAACAAATCTATTAGATCACGTTTTTTCTCTTTAGATATGAGAACTGGTCCAGCATAACTGAGAGGTGGATTTAATATCAGAGGTATTTTTCCTCTTCTTCTAAAACTTACTGAATGGAATTCATCACTGTCTTCAAGAGTCGTTTTAAACTTTAGAAGTCCAAAAGATCGCTTTTCATATCGTAACCAATGTACGTGATACCAGTTGGGATAACCAGAAGGATCAAGTTTTCTGTTTACTAGTGGTCCTTTATATAAGTGAGAGAAGTCGTAAAAGTCATCTTGTGTCATTTCTTTTATAGAAAAGGGCTTTTTTTTTCCAACCTGACGCATTAGTTGCGCCCAATCATGTGGATGCTCTATTGGTCCATTAAATGTTTTTTTCTTTTTTTCGATTAAACTATGGTCACTCTCACTCCATATGAGTGTGACCTGGAATCAGGAACTTGTGATCTATAGTTTCCAAATGAGTGGAATCTTGTAAGGCTTTCATAAACATTGCAGCAATATTCGTGTTTTTGTTTTGACCGCCACACGTATCTGAATACAGTATTATATGTTTAACGGACATCCAGATCTTCCTGTAGGTACTTATATAAACAAGAACCGATATCGTCACTACCTCTTTTTGTTATAGCTTCATGCCACACAAAACATGTGGCTTGACTGGTATCACTGTCGTGTATTGTCAGGTTAAAAGTCCATAGCTGCCTTTTGTAAAAGGCAAGTGATGATTGCACTACAGGTGTCGGTAAACACTGTTGCAAGTCAAAGGTTATAGTCTTCCTTTCTGGATCGTCTTTGGTAACAGTTTTGTCTTTCTTTTTAGACAGATAAGACAGATAAGCTAAGTCTGCAAGTTTATGATGTTGCGCAAGCTCATCTTTTAGAGTAGTATTAGTTGGATCAAGATTAATTTGCATTGATAGCTTATAACACTTTTCACAGGTGTCTTTATGAGGACGCTTTATGCTGATATTTAATTGGTGGAACACACATTCGTATACAAATCTTGACACGGGTTTCACAGGATATTTCTGTTTGTACTCGTTATAGAGATCGGTCAGTGTGACGTATGGCGGCAAATACTTTTTTGTAGAATCTCTGCGTGTGTAGTGACTTTCATACGTAGGCACTGAAAGTATATGTTGCCGAACGCTTTCTATATCTTGCAATGTTCGTTTGTTTGGTGGTGCACTTTTTCCTCTGCCATCAACTACTGTAATTCCAGACTGATTTGACAACTTTTTCTCAATTACGGTTCTTATAAATCTTTGAGTTTCATTAAAGGTTGCAAGGAAACAAAATTTACAGAGACGTTCCTACCATTTACTTGCAAATGATACAAGACTGTATTCATGTGGTGTTTACTTTTATTTGGGACAGACGTACGGGGTCTTGATACTGCTCTTCTCTTAATTTCAAGTAAACCAGCAACATAAGCTGTTCTTCTATTATAATCTCCCACAGCCCAATATTCAGTAAAAAGTTTATGTCTTTCTTCTTCAGAAATATTTTCTCTACACTTATTTCTGCAAGGTTTAAGAGGCTGCATGGTGCGTGCAGCTCTTTTTTTCCTTTGTAATTTACATATTCCTGGCCAGTATTACGTTTCTTCTTTCTGTGCTGTCGTACAGCCCTCGTGTCTCCTTTTATTGCACGCTTTTTGCCCCTATTATGTCTGGCTCTATTGGTATTGTTGGCAATAACTTGCTCCTCTCTATTTGCTGTTGTATGTCGTTGTCTTATTTGAATTGTTACATCTTCATCGCTTTCACTACCAGATGAAGTCCCGGGTTGTTCAAAATCTGGATCCCTAATAGAATCATCAGAGTCAATGATAATTTCCTTTCGGACAGCTTCATCCAGTGAAGGAGCTTCGCTGCTCTGATCGTCCCCATCTGCAACCATCAAAGAATATCTTTATAATACCTGAACTGTTGTTTATCTTATGTAAGAGTTTGAACATGTACTTTGAAATACATTTCCCTATTTTGTTGGAAAAAATATAAACTTGGCAACGTTTCCACACTGGAAGCCGAACGCGGCCCAGGACGAAACAAGTTAGGTTATGTTATCAGTTTATTTCAACTTTCCAATTGAATTAATAATTTTATAACTTACCTTCATGAGTATGAGTTTCATTACTGCTTTCTTTCAATAAATTCAAATTTTTTTGTGCCCTGCTGCTCATCTTTCACAGTCAGTTTGTCTATAAAACCGAGAACAATAAACTTCTTAACCGTCACAAACAATAATATGTTGCCAAACCTCTGCTTATGTCATTTTGCAAATATGACTTTTTTGTAAAATTGTTTAGGTCAAACAGCTGCAATATACTTCTTATGTGTAAAACGTATCAAGTCCTGACATGATTTTATATGCACAAGAAAACAATAAATTGAAATGGTGAAAAATGGATCAAGTCTGACTTGATCCATTTTAGCAATGCAAATATTTTTATTTTCACATATATATGAAAATGTGTCGGACAATTTTAAAATTTAATCTAAAGATTATTAAAATAAAATAGATATTTTAAGAATAATTAACACAAATATTTTAATTTATGATTTTTTCTAATTTATAAAATAAATTTTAAAAAGTGGCCTCGCCCTGTATTTGAACCTAATCAACACTCAAACTCTTACGCTGCCACCTTATATTTTTTACAAATTAAAATTTATAATTTAATTGGTTTTAGACTGTTTTATTAAAATTATTTTATCTCAATAACTAAAATAATAGGTTGTACATCATGAGTGAATATGATAACCATATCACACAAGGATGAAGTGCTTAATCGTCTGAGTGCATTTCGAATATTCCACTCGATATTATATTATATTTTATTTTTTTTTTCACCACCCACTAACGAAAATCTAAAAAAAAATTAAAAAGATTGTTATTAAAATAAACTATCCATTTTAAAAATAATGTAATAATTATTTTTTAAAATAAAATAAACTTTGAAAAAAGTTTTTATTCTGGATTTGAATTCCGAACTTTTTGTTGTATGGGAACTCCGTACTTTACCTTTGTGCTAATGATACATCCAATATAATTTTTAATACTAACATATCCGTCATCCTTACTAGAATGAATATAAAATTATATTTGTTCAGTAGAACGCAATGATCTAATTTTTCGTTCTGTTGTCTGTACCTAGAATATATAATATCTATGTGGGTGTAAAAAAATATATTGTCAATAAGTTTGACACTAATTTAAAATATTTAAAGAGAATAGTCGACTAGGTGTTATGAGCTGTGATTGGTGGATTTCATATCCTTACTGGAATGGATACCTATTAAATTATATCCATTCAGTAGACGAATAGACTGATATCGTCTACTTATTCGTTCTGTAGTTTGTGCAAAAAATCGATGGGTGTACAAAAAATCATAATGTTAATATAAAATATTTTTAATTTAAAAATAATGAACACAAATATTGTTAATAATGATTAAAATTTTATATAATCAATAAACTGTATAATTAATTTAATTAATATCACTTTAGAAAATAATATCATAAGTAGACTCGAACCAAGCTCGAACAATGTTCTTGTGTCGAATCCAAGGGAAAATATGGTATTTGTTAATTTGGTAATATTTATAGATGAAAAAATGTTGACATAGAATAAAAAATTTAGTCAAACGCGGTTAAACTAAATAATTACTTGCTAGTTAGGTATGGGAAAGATTTTAATAGCTTATTGGTTATGGCTTAAAGTTTAGGGATTGAGGTTTAGGGAAATTAAAACTTTTTTATGCCCACCTTTATTGTATTCAACTGAAATTGAAATGTAATGTAGCCGAGCCCGTATCTGGGAGTTTAGAAGTATTCTTTTTTTACTCGGTGATGCTTATTGTCTTTTTTTAAGGACTTATTATTCAGACTTCTCACTTCCCTTACAAGGCCTTAAAAAGACAAATGATTTTATAATTGAGGCGTTTATTTTAAAAACAACATATGTCCAAAATTCGCGAAAATACGATTTTGGCGCCATTGTGTCTCTATCACCCCAAGGATTCATTTCTTCCAAAAACATGCACACGTCCCCAGATATTTACCGCTAAAATATCAGTATTTCTGTAAAAACGACATGTTTTATTCGTTTCTTTTAAAAACTGCACAAGTCCATGGACTAATGCTGTTTTTAAAGGAAACTGGGCAAGCCGAAACCTGTCAAATTTAGTAGCGTTGTTTACTTATTCCATTGAGGTTAGTTTTTAGCCTCGTGTTGTATTTCAAGTAAATTGTTCGATTTGCACTTTCACAAGGTTTTAGTTATACGTACAACTATGGAAAATGCAGTAGCAAGTGGTAGTGGAGCACAGACTCAGTGCGCGCCATAGCGAAAATTAAAGAAAACACCAAAAGCCAGTATAATAAAAATGCCCAAAGTAAAAGCGAAGAGCATATTAATCATAAGAGAAAACTTATAGAAAAACGCACTATTGGAAAAAACTGCAGGTAAATAATAGTTTTTATGAAAAAACTTAATATTTTGCTTACATTTTTTTTCAAGGGTAATGAAAAAATCGATTGCATTAGCTTTAACTTCATGCAAAATCTGCCTCTTCCCCACATTCCATCAGATCCAGTATTCTATTCACGTCAGTTATGCTACCCCATATTTGGTATACACAATCTTGATACAGATGAGGCATCCATTTACGCTTACACTGAAGGACAAGCGAAAAAAGGTGCTAATGATGTGTGTTCCATGTTGCTACATTTTTTTAACAGTAACAACTTTACGACAAGGAGTCTTGTACTGCTTAGTGATAGATGTCCCGGCCAAAACAAGAATTATATTATGTTGCACTTTTTATTTATTCTGGTCCATGTGTTAAACATTTTTGAGAAAATTACATACCTGTTTCCTATTCGGGGCCATTCATATCTCCCTAATGATCAAGACTTTGCACTAATCGAAAAAAAGAAACCGTATTTGGAAAGAGTAAAGACACCTGAAGAGTGGGATAAAGTGATATTGTCAGCACGAAGTAAACCCTCGAAATTTTTTATTAGTTAAAATGGACCCCTTAAAGATATTTGATATAAAGTTAGCCACCGACCAATATTTTCTGAAAACAGCTAGACCGCCAATTTCCCTAAAACAAGTTCGCATGTGATACCTATAAAGGTCCATGGAGATTCTCTATTGTTAAAAGTAAAAAACCATTAACTGGTTTCATAACACTCACACCAGTTTATCCACAGGCTGTGCCAATATTATCTGCCAAACTGAAAAATCTAAGGGATCTTTTACCGTATTTAGCGAATGCAAAAAATCGAAGCTTTTATGATGGTATTTTTTTCACAAGATTTGCAGAACAATGACGCCATAGAAATCGACGAAGAAGACAACAGCAGTGGTTGTGATGAATCCTAATTATTTTTTGTAACTTAAACTTTAATAAAAACTAAATTTATAATATTAGTTTTGTTTCATTTTTTTTCTCTCTTAACCCTCTCAGCCCCAGTGGACGTACGACGTACGTCCTTAAGCAATACTTTTGGACGTACGACGTACATCACATAAAAATTAATCGAAAACATAGTCGACAATGTTTGTTTACCTTCTCTTGAGTTATGGATTACACCCAAAAAAATTATCAGTGCTTTCTTGGTGACTTGATAAAAAAAAATGTTTACTAAATAAATCGTTTAACACTAATGTTTATTCAACATTATTAACCGAATAGGTAGATCTCAAAGAGCTTGGTCAAACAACTATAAGTATATTTTTAAAAGTTTGATTTATAATACTGTCTTTAAAAAAAGACTACGCCACCACAAATAGAGATTTTTTTTTTTTCGTTTACTATTTAGTATCTAAAATGAACTCGAGTGATTCAGATTCTGACTCCGATTTTCTGTTAGAAAATATCACTTGAGGTAGTGAATGTGAAAGTTTTAATAATAGTGATGATGGAGAAAATATGTTAGAGTATAGTAACGCGTCATCTATAGGCAATAATCCGGCTGGGTGGAATATGATAAGTGATCCGTTTGAAGATAGATTTCCTAATAAAGTTCCAGAATTTCTTGGCAATCCTGGTCCAAACCCAGCGGTCTTCCCACATGAAGATCTATCGTTTACAAGGTCTGTAGATATGTTTTTATCTGAGGAAACGTTTAATTTTTTTGTGCGATGCACAAATTCGAGAGCCGACATTCCTGACAATAAATCAAGTCAAAGCGTTCTAGATTTGGTATCAAAATTTTTGTTCTCTGTACTTCTGACGGGTATATGTACAGATTTGAAATTTATATGGGACAAAGACAACAAAAATTTGCTCTTCAGAATGCCAATGCCCAAGATCTGTCACTATCAGAAAGAATAGTAGTACATCTTCGTCGAAATTTACTGGACTTTCTGTACAGATAATTTTGGTATAGCAGTATATGGCTCGCCGAGTACTTTCTACATAGGAAAACCCTTTTGACTGGCATGATTCGTCCAAATAGAGGAGTTCTAGATATGATTTGACTCTCCATTGAATAGACATCAAACAGCATGTGTCAGGAAAGAAAATATTTTCGTATTGAAATATTTTGACAACTGGAAAGTTTATTTAATTTCAACAGAATATACTGCTGAATTGACCGAGTCAGATTCGTTGTAGGTCAAAGAGTATTCTTTAGGAAGCCTGTAGTTATATAAGAACATACCCGATGCATGCGTGTTGTGGATAAATTGTATGAGCTACTCCACTGCTATAACTGTTGCAGGAAATCGTATACCTGGTTCAAGAAACTTGTTGCAGTGCGCTATAATAAATGGTCATTTAAATTACGTTATTGATTACTTAGTGGACAGACGTAACGAAGATATAGATTTATTGGATTCTGGTAAGCCAATTTTTAGGCGACGGTGGTTGCAGCAAATTTAATTTCGTGGCCAACCTGTTGTGCATACTCCATCTACTTTTGCACCAACTGCTCATCGACAACGTTGGTGTTATACAGGGTGTTATTGAAATACACGTACATATTAAAACTGGGTATTGCGCAGATCCCCACTGAATGTAGAAAAATATTATTTTTTAAAAATACCCCTTATTAAGGGAGTTATTAATTTTTGAAAATTAATTCTAAAACAAACGTACTTCACTGATATGTTGAGGATGACCTATATAAATTAGGTTTATTTACCTATTTTAAACATCAACAGTAATTAATATGCAAGTTTTTGTCAGATGATAAGAAAACTAGTCTTGTAAGAAATAACCATGTTGCCAAGATTTTCGAATTAATTTCTATTTCCGAAGACTGGTTTTTACTACCCTCGTTATCAAAAAACTAGAATAGTTGATAAATGATTGTTTTTAAACTATACATTTTTGAAACTATAGATTATTAAAATTTTAGTTGATTTACGAATCTGGCTAACACGAGCGCGTCATTTCCAAGTTGGTAAAAAGTGTTGTTACGATTACTTTTAAATATTTTTTTAGGATGCCACTATTTACGAATATTGAACTAACGGATATAGTGCTGGTTTATGGGGCAGCTGGAGAAAATTCTCGGCAAGCACAAATCCTGTATCGCGAACGGTTTCCAAATCGGAGAATTCCGGACTGTCGTACGTTTATTTCAACTGTTCAGCATCTAAGAGACCATGGAAAATTTGAGAGTGTCAATGCAGATCGAGGGAGAACAAGAACACAAAGAACATTGGCGGCCGAAGAAGAAATATTGGAAGCTGTTGAAAACCGGCCTCAATTAAGTTGTAGAAGACTAGGTCTTGAAATTGGAGTGTCCTCATTTGTTGTGTGGCGGACACTTAAAGAACAAGGTTTACATCCTTATCACATCCAAAAAGTCCAGGCCTTATATCCAGGTGATGAAGAAAAGAGAGTGGAGTTTTGTGAATGGATGATTCAAAAATGTGTTGATATTCCTGATTTTCTAAAAATATTATTGTATACTGACGAGGTTTCATTCACTCGTGATGACGTGTTCAATATGCACAATACGCATATTTGGAGTGATGAAAATCCTCACGCCATTAGGGAAACTGGACATCAAAGAAAATTTTCATTAAATGTTTGGGCTGGCATAATAGATCAGTATTTAATCGTGCCTTATGTTCTCCCGAACAGATTAAATTGGCCAGGATATCTCCACTTTTTAGAAGATATTTTGCCAGTACTCCTAGAAGAGATACCGTTACAATTAAGGCAACGGATGTGGTACCTACTAGATGGCGCTCCTCACTTTGATTTAAACGTACGGCAGTTTTTGAACATTAGATTTCCTCAAAAGTGGATAGGCAGAAATGGACCTACTAAGTGGCCTCCGAGATCTCCGGACTTAAATCCATGCGATTTCTTTTTGTGGGGTCACATGAAACAACTGGTTTATAATGAACCTATTAATAGTGTTGAACAATTAACCAATAAAGTTAATGCGGTAACCGAGGAACTACGACAAAATCCAAGACTAATTTCTAATGTTCAAAGTTCTTTGGAAAGACGATTGCAAGTGTGTGTAAATAATAATGGACGGCATTTTGAACAATTACTGTAATAAACTTTATTTTGAATTAATTGGTTTTGCTACGGCAACAGTGCAATTTCTATAGGTAAGTTCAATTTCGATTTATTTTACTTCTTTAAATATGGAAACTAGTAGGTCGGAAAAGGGGACTCTTCCCCAATATTTAAATTTTAGAATTTGAAGTTAAAATTGGTGCCAATCGTTTTTGGTCATTACATACTATTCCCCATTTTAATATGTACGTGTATTTCAATAACACCCTGTATGTGCAATGTCGAACATCCGACGTGATAATAGATACTTTTGTAATTTGTGTCCCAATAAACCAGCCTTATGCATGCCTGTTTTAGTAATTTTAATCATACGCGTTAATATTTTTTGTTTTATATTAGTATTTTAGTTATTTTTGTATATAAATACCATCACAAAAGATACAGTTACATAAACTTGTGTTGGTTAAACCTAGATAGTATTTTACTAACGATAAACAATTGGTAATTTTAAATAAAATGTTCATACCTTCGACAGTTATAATTATAATATTGTGTAGGAATAAATAAATTAATTTTAACTTTTTTATTTTGTCCTTTTCTAGTATCTAAGTCAGCTTCAAATTATTAAAACCTGTTATTTTATGTTATACGAGTATATTATGATCACAGCTTAAGCTGTGTTATGATATTGACACAATATAGCGTAAAAAAATGGTAAATTGTAAATTTATATTTTAATAAACAAATATTCTGTCTCTATTTTATATATTTATTTTGGTTTTATTACCTAGAGACAGGTATGATTTTTAAAATATTAAAAATATCAAAAGGTCTGTGTCTAAAATGATTAAGTTATTTTTTTTAAGAATTTTGATAGGTGAAATACATTATTTGGTTTCTGCTAATTTTGTTTCATATTTAAAAATCCTAATTTTTTAATCTTATATATTTTTTCAATATAGATTTTTAAAAAATGTTTTGTTTAAATTTTCAACGGAAACCTTTCCAATAAAATACTCTTGCTAGTGTATATTCATTCGACGTACGCCGTACGTATACGGTATGCAGACGTACACCATACGTTTGCTGGTAATGAGCGAATCTAACTTGCTGGGATTATTTACTGCATGTAAAAATAGTGGCTGGTGCTGAAAGGGTTAAAAACAGCATAAGTCCAAGTTATTTTGTGTTTTTCTTAAAATAATAAGATTTTTCTCAAAGGTACTAGCTGGAAAATCTTTATATAACATATTCATCACTTTAAGATATAAAGGTTCTTTAAAAAATTGCAATAAATTCCACAGTGCATTTTTCTAAAGTGCATTTTTTTCATCTCCTGAAAAATTAACATTTTGGACATATGTTGTTTCTAAAATAAACGCCTCAATTTAAACAACATACCTATGAGTTGCTCTCAAACAAATAAAAAACAACAACAACAAATTATTATATTACTTTGTTTTTAAAAATATTAGTTACATATTTTTTAGGCAATACTCATACAATTCAATAACATTGTCTTCGACCCACTGATTTTTTTTTATAGTGTCCCATGACCGATCAAAAATTTTAATTCTAAAATCTTTTTCGCTCCAAAATCTCTCGACTTCTTTCGGATTTAATAATTCGTAATAACTAAAATCTCTAAGTGCATGTAGATAGTGATAAAGTGTGGATAAATATATTGCACAAATTTTTAAATCTTCCATACTTTTTAAAAAATCAACCAGCGGAATAATTTTTTCGATAATAATGTTATGTTTCTTCAAAATTAATTTTAATTCAGTGTAATACTCATCGAGAAGGGTTTTTGTAAGTTCGTTCCTTGAAGTTTTGTTAATATTCGTATATAAAAATAGCAAAACATCCATTGCAGGTGGTACATATCGAATAATTTGGAAATCTAACAGTAAACACTCTGTAGGACGATGATTCTGATCACATTTATAAAAAATATTATTACACCAAATATCTCCGTGAGTAACAACATTTCTAAATTTCTCTGAGGTTTTAACTTTATCAAAAATTTGGTTCAAATTTTTTCTGGCCCTACTTTGAAATTCTTCCATCGTAATATCTTTAACAATATGAGGAAATTTCTTCAGATACTCCAAAATATGTTCCATACTTACGATATTAAAGCTGTTTTTTAATATAAGAGTTTCCGAAATCATTTCTGGAAAATATTCATCAATTCTTATTTCAGTTCCAATTTTTTCACTCAACTTTTCCTCTAATAATATAGAACCGGCGTGCATTTTTGCCAATCGTTTAACAGTTAGAGAACAATATCTATGATCAAAATTAGTGAAAATTTTAACAGAAAAATAACCTTGAATCGACAAATCTTCCAACACCATAAACTTTTCAGAAACTAAATAACATTTTGGTAAAAAGTTCCAATCGTCTGACTCAATTTTATCCAGTAGATCAATGAATTTGGTGTAAAATAGTTTTTCTTTAATAAAAGAATTTACTGCAATAGTTTGATTTTCATCACCTTCTTTTGGTAGAAATTTAATAAAAAAATTACTCGTTGTTTTTTGACCATTCAATCTTGTATAGATTTTTAAATTCGCATATACACCTAAAAAACCAATTTTAGCTGTAATTGGTATTAATTCGAAATTTATATATTCAAAATCTTGCTTATAAAACTTCTTTTTTATAATTTCATAAGTATCTTCTATTAAAATTTCAGGATGTTGCAAATATTGGATAAAATCTTCAATTATATATTTATTATCATGTTCTAATACTGCTTCTAGCTTCACAATAGGTATAAAACTTCTTATAATGCATTTGTAATCATCTCTTGAAATAATAGAAGAATGTTTGTTAAGTTGAACTAAATTTTGAACCAGTAAATCATAAGTAGTTTCTAAAAGATGGTTTAAGAACAAAAATCTCTCTTCTTGTGTAGTGTTTTCAAAAATTAATTTAACTGCTTTGTATATAATTTTTCTTACTATGTTTTCTTCTAATATTTTTAATTCTTGATTTCTCTGTTGTAGTAACTTTTTGGCACATATTTTAATGTTTTCCAGATAATCAATGTTAGACACATTTTTCTCTATTATATCACTTAATTCTGTTACATTAATTAGATCTATTTGCATGTAGTTTGTTTTTACATTGCTTCGCTTTATTTCATCCACTAAGGTTTGAATAATTGCATTAATAATCATCACTATACTCTATCAATATACTAACTGAAGCAAATATTTTAAATTTTAGATATCTCTTCTTTATATATTATTAATTACTTAATTAATATTATTAATACGAGCAGTTATCAACACATTGTTCGATTACCAAAATGATAAGATAATTTATTTTCAATAGGTAGTCTATAGTTTTGTTAATTTTGAAAACAAACTATTGCGTATTTAGACAAAAAAAATTATTTCCTTTACATTTGTTAATTAACAAAGGTCGAAGGTTTTCAGTCGAAACGATATGAAATTTATTTTTACAGGGTATTCCACAATATTATTGCAATCTCGCGGATTCATTATTCTGGGTGTTCCTAAATTTTAACAGCGTATCACACAGGTGAAAATAAGGCAGAAAGATTCTATAAGTACGCATACTTTAAAAATATTTTTGGATGTTACACTTTTGCCAGGAAAATAAAAATATTTTTTAAATGAAACACAGTGTATTTTATTTCAGTTTTAGAATGTTCTGGTTAAACGAAAATAGTAGTTGTGTCGATAGCAAATTAAGTTGCCATGCAAAGGTCCCGGGTTCAAATCTAGTATTGGAGACTAACTAAATTAAATCCTTTTTTTTAGTTTATAAATTAGTAAAAGTTGTAAATTATTTTTAAAATAGTTATTTTTTCTTAATAACCTAAAATAATTTTTAAAATAGGTAGTCGTACAAAAAATATACTGTAAAACTCAAATGGACTATCCGCATTGGGACTATGGCGTCGTGCTTAAACTTCGTCTTCCATTTTGTTACATTCTGTACAGGCTAGAGGTGTTTAGGAAAAGCAAGTTTTCCTGCAATTTAATTTCTTTTTGAACCTTTTAATTTAATGATTTGAACTCTAATATGGATTACAAAATACATTTAGGAACTTTTACATTAACTTATATTTGTACCAAATTTTATAACTGTGTTTTGACCAATGTTGTTTCAAAAGAAATATCATGTTCAATTAACCAGTTATCTATAACTTTTTTTTCAGCTGTTATCGGTGCTGTATTGACCACCGTACTGTGGTAACTATTCATAATAATTGTAGAAGGTTCTAAGTTTTGTAAAAACTGATATTGAAACCAATGCAAAACGTTTTCTTTATTACTTTCGCCATGGCAATCACCATCCCATGTCTTGAAAGAAAATATCAACTCTGCTCCAAGAACAAATCTAGAAGATGTACCTGCTTGCAGTACTATATACCTACAATGAAAAAATAAAGCGTAATACCAAAAATTAAACATACCAAAAATTTAACAATATGCCATCACTAAATTGGAAAATCGTAAAAAACTGTACACGTTTAGAAGCAATATGTGGTAACTCTATTAAATCAGGACACGGATCATCTTTCTTTTATTTAAGACCCAACTCAGTTTTGTTTGCGATATAATCACGATTTTTTAGGTTAGAAAACTTGCATTATCGATTTTTCATTCGAAGTAATACAAGACGTCACTTTAAATTACTATCTCTTTATGTCAACAAATATTAAACACGATTAATTTAATAAAACGTATGTCATTATTGAATATGTGGCGGCAATTGACAGCAAAATTGTCAGCTACTAGAGGTCGGGTATAAGCCATATAAATGGAAAATAATAATTAAAATGTTTTGATAGAGTTAAATAAAATATCAAAATTAAATATTTTTATTTTTAGGTAAACGGTATTTTTAAATGTATACGTCATCAATCAAAAATAAAATAGGCCAATACTCAAGTGTATACGAGTGTAAGTACTGGACAAGGGATAATTTTACACTTTACTTGAGTTTTTGTATTAAGCCATCGATCATTGTAATGAAGCCAGGATAAAATAGATATTTGTTTACCAAGGCTGTGTTTTGGCCGAATTAGACATAATGCGGCCGAGGCTAAGCAACTTCTGGATAAGTATAATAGTTATAGGCAAGAAACGAATGATCAATCAAGATAGATGTCAAATAAGCAGGTTTACTGAAGATGAACTTCGCATCAGATAGGTATAACACTTGATATTCTGAAAAACATAGATACTACACTAAATAAGAACGAATGAAAGTGTCAGAAGGAAGCTCAAAGCAAAAATAGATGGAACAAAGATGAATAGATAGATAAGTAATATTTTAGCCAGGAGAGACTCGATGAATGTTATAAATATGGTAAATTTATGAATGTATTGTTAATGTATAATTTCAGTTTAAAAAAACTAAAAAACACGCTTTTAGAGCATATCAAACTAAAAGTTAAAAATAATTTTTCAAATAAGCTTAAAACAATAATAAAAGGAAAATACTAGTATTATTGTGAAAAAAGCGTCGGGCGCTCGATGTACGAGAAATATGGACAAAGCGCTCCACGCAAATATATCAAAGTCTAGGCGCAAACGCAAACCATCGTGGATATCCATTAGATGTTATTTGATTTTGCTTACTAAGTATAGATGGCGATACCACTTTCGCATCTACTCCATTAGAGACTGGAGTCGAGAATTTCCATTTATTGTTGAAGAGTCCTAATAAGGATGACTTTCTCCTTAGTTGGCAAAATCAAAGGCAGAGTGGTGAAAATATTTTGAGTGTTGAAAATATTTTTGTCTCTGCTATTTTCTTTCGACGTTATTCAATAATCATTGGTTACTTATGAACCTCTACTAAAGATACCCATACAATATTTTTCTGAATATCCGAATATCTTCTGTATCCTGGGATATAGACGGACTTTTGGATGGATATCCATATTGGATATATTGAATATCCACAAAATATATTCTGTGGATATCTCTGGGATTTCTTGTATTGTCTGGAAGATATCCATTAGATATTTTGCTGGATATCCATTAGGATATCTTCTATATTCTGGATATAAACGGACATTTGGATATCCATATTAGATCCACGGAATATTTCTGATATCCTGTGGATATATTGGATATCCACAAAAGATATTATGTGGACATCTCTGCGATTTGGTGTGTTGTCTGGGTACATACATACAGGTGAAGCTAATATAAGCGTGTTAAAAAGCATCATTATCAGCTTACGTCTGCTTGTTAATGATATAATATTAAATTCTGCCCTTAACCTAGATGATCTTATAATTGTATAATCCGATTACAAATGATATTTCTTAAAATACAAGTATCTAAGAAATTGTTCTGGGTCTTTTCAATTGGCGATAAATATATTTGTAGTTCATCTCCCTACAAAAGACATCTAAAATCTAATTTAGGCTTAACACATTGTATTGAATTTTAACAGTTTTTATAGAAAAAAAGGAAATATGTCTATAAATAAATCCCAATGAACGATTTGCACTATTTACTAATTTACTGGAAATAAGGAAAACTTTTGAGTGTAAATTTTCTAAAGAAGTTTTACGTTGGCCTTGTTCATTACTTCCCAAATCACAGTATTATTCTATTACATCAGTAGATTTTGAAAGGACCTTTTCTATATCTAAACATATTTTTACAGATAGAAGACATTTTTAAATAATAAATTTCCAGTGCCGGACTAAGCCGTCAGCGTCGGTCTACTGGTCAAAAGACTGGTAGGCCCTCGTTTAAGCAGTGGCCCTTCGATCAGGAAGTTGGACCTCGTACAGTCAGTGGGTCCTCGTTTAGGCAGTGGGTCCTTGAAAAGAACAAAGAATGAAGGAACCCGCCCGTAATACGTGGTAACCTCGAAAAAAAGTATCAGTGTGCAAAGAGGCCATTTTTTGCTCTTCAATGATACGGGCCATGAAAAGAAAATGATAGTTGTCCCTTCTACCTTTTGAACCGGTCCTGGAAGTCCGACACTGTAAATTCCTATTATAATATTCCTAGTCAATCGTTTACTTTTATATCCCTAATATAATATACGTAATGCAATGCAATCGACTTAATTTTTTCTTCTACCCAAATAAATATTACAAACAGTTATTTGTTGTTATTACTTGTTTTTTTTTTTTCTTAGTCGTTCTTCTATTATACATTTTGCATATTTTTTTAATAATTTAAAATTATAACCATCGTACCAAAAACCCCTTTTTCACCTTCCATCGATAGTTTTCTTGATCCCACTCGATTCTTATGTCGCGTCCGCCTAGTGTTCTTCGTCACGTTATTGAACGATAGCGATTGGCTCCTTTCAAAATAGTCCAGTTACACAAACCAAAGGGACGCTTTTTATTATTTTAATTCAAGAGGGTCCTTTTTTGAATTAATACGATTCTTTCAGCGCCATTTTGAATTTTTTCAAACTTATTTAGGATCTGTTATCTATGACTTCTATATTACTCTAATATCAATTTTAGTCGAAATCTGCCGACATTTTAAAAATAAATTATTCTTTTTAAACTGCTCACCCTGTATATAACTGATCGGAAAGATTACTGGTTTTGAGCCAGAAAGGAGCCGTTTTTGAGCAATAGCGCTAACAGACAGATGACGACAGGCATAACGATTGAATGGGGAAACATGTTTAATGTAATCTAGGAACCCGGAAACGTAAAAATCTGAAATAATTTCGGATGGTGACTTTTCACGATTACAATACCTCCCCTTTTATCGAGGGAAGTAAAAAAAGTGTCACAAAAAACTTGATAGTTTTGGAATACTAAATCTAAATTTAGCATGAAGTGCTATTCTGAAAAAACAATCAATATTATCGAACTAAACCAAAGAGTAACTTTTAGTCGCAAAAAAGTTGAATTTTATGAGTATGGTGTCAAACATAATAAAATGTAGAAGATAAAAATAGCACTTATTACACCACTCTCTCTCTCTCTCTCTCTCTCTCTCTCTCCTAGTTGTGACATCCCAGTTAGAAGAAGTTTTTAAACTAATTCTTACATTAAGAATATCAATTTCAAGAGAAACCCAAAATTTAAAGTATTTATTGGTAACGGTTTCGAAAATATCGTCAAAAAACAGCTTCAGGGAGGGGAATATCTTTAAAGGGGTGTTTCTTTTCAATGCACTTTCTGCGTTAAATGTTTATGAATATTAATCTCGATATTTACTCATCTATTGTCAATTTTGACGAACATAAAACAGTTTTAGTAAAATTTGTTTCTATGCTAATTTACAAAACAAATTTCAAAATCAATACAAAGGCACAAATCGCACTAGCCTCCCTAATTTGAAAATGATCAGGAGCATACACAAAACCCGCATCTATATCAATAGTGTGATGATATAAACATCTCAAGACCCAAAAATAAATAATAAATACCAAATTTAATTAGGAAAGTATATGTTTCATTATTCACAAAAACACACCCTGTGTATAAAAATGATCATGGGAATAATTATATATGATGACAACAAACCTTTATTAATGTTCTTAATGTAGTTATGATCAGAAAGTTGAATATTTAGTTAATTAACAGACTTAGTAAAATTTTAACATATGTTGAATCGTAAAATTTAACTACTACAAAAGCACTGGAACAGACTACCTTACTGAAATAAAATTGTAAACTCTAATCATAAATAAAGTTAGTTGGTACATATTTCTTCTGGTATAACACATTTAAAACATTTATAGTAATGTTAGATATTTACTATAAGTTAAAATTAAAAGTAGTGTTTTCCACATTTGACATTAATCCACACATGTGAATAAATTTTCATAATTTCATAAAATTACCATGAATGTGACTAATTTAATAATAAAAGTAGTTTAAAATAAGGATATGTTAAGGTTTGGGGTATAATAAGAGATAAATATTTGGCCAATTTACCATTAGGTACTCAATACTTGGTGCAATCAAAGGAATTTAAAGTTGGTAAAAAAATCATGATATTAGGCTAATTTAGTATGTAAGAAGTGAAACGTACAATATAAGGAAGGTGTAGTGAAAATTTTTAATAACAAGAACACTGCTATAACATTTTTTAAATCAAATATGAAGAAATTAATCTAACCTCTACGAAGAGATAAAAAATTGACTATAGAAGCTTAAAATGGCAAAGGAACAGTGTTTAGTATGGTATTTAATAATTAGAATAGGTTGTACATTAGTTTTAAACATATTTGGGTCGTTTTAACTCTTATATTAAATTTTTTTAAATTTGACATTTAAAAAAATTACATCAATTTTGGCAGTAAAATCCCGTAGAATCCAATTTCAGTAGCATTTTGGCCGTGCTAGGAGAAGCAAAGTGCAATTTTGCTCTGTTCGGCAATTGTTTTAAGTAATTCGCCAACTTATTTTCGGAATTTGACATTAGTTTGTCAATAAAAACCAAAGTGAATTTTAACATAACCTAAAAGGGAATTTATTTTCTTATTTAAAAATGGTAAATAAATAATTCCAACTTACCAAAATCATATTTCCAATGTTAGAGTTACAATGCGCCTTTGGAACTTGGCTTCATTTCCACGAGTTTGGCTGTAGCCTGTAGTGTCACGCAAAATTCTTCTAAGACAAACCTTTGAATTATTACTGTAGGAAGGAGAATCGTCAGTAATTGTCGTACCTCAAGGTCAGTAAGAAACCATTATCACGTTTTAACTTACCTGCTCATTTAATTAACAAGTTCAAAGTGATTTGTGACTTTAGAAAATGTTTTGTACTCCATGTTCGTTAAACATAATTAATTGTATCTTATGATCTTAGACTTTGGAACAGGGGGGCTTATAACATATCACAGACCATATGTAACATATGCGCGTTATATCAACAGGTTAGTGCGCAACACATCCGCGCATATCAGTCCGTTTTACAATAATAAAATGATATTTAAATTTAAAGTACACTGAATAATTAAATAATTCAAATATATTTCGCTTAATAACAAAAGTAATACACGGTAAGTATTGTTTTAAAATTATTAATTTATATAAATACTACAATTATTTGGAAAACATGAATTAATCAATTATTTGTACAATGTAAATCTGACTTTGGGATTGTCACCCGTTCGAACCGATACAATACAATGACAAAACTGGACAAAACTGAACAAAACAATATGGTTATGGTTGCTGAATAAAACGTGGTAAGTACTTTTACTTTTATTTAATTTTAGTTAAACATGTTAAATTTAAAATTAAGCAAAGATATTTTGATGTGTTAACATGTGTTTAGCAGGTCCTGTTCGTAATAAATTCATAATATCTAATTGTAATAGCGTTGTTTGTATAAAGGTAAATAGTACAATTGACTGTCCAATTTATGCTGTACATTTTAAGAACACATTTTTTTTATTTCCTTCCGATATTAAGCAAGGAACTAAATGATGCCGCATAAACTTCATCATTCCACTTGCGAAAAACCATTTATAGGTAGACTGTAAATTAGCTTTACCTTTGGTACCCTTGAAAGCTAAATTAACAGTAAAGAGTAATACTATAAAGTTACATTCGATTAAAATTTCATCCAATGAAATATAATTATTACCTAAAAAACAATAATTAGCTCTTGAATTTTTAAATCAATCCACTGAATGGTTAGCTCCAAGGGAGAAGAAACTCTATTTTATAATTAGAAAACAGCAAAGTAAAATTTGCGAATCAAAGAAGGACCTCAAAGCTTGATCCCGCAGACATCTGTTTTTTTAAAAGTACTACATCTAATTAAAAGATGAAGGGACTACCATTATTAATTATAAAATATTATAATGAAAGTATAAAACTGTGACAATGTCTAAAAGAAAAAAGAGATTCAAAATGATATGAAGTTAAAATACTACTTTGAATTTTTTCTGTTTCAGTTTATATGGATGGTTCTCCTTAATGTGTTTTGTTACCTACCCAAGTTTACAGAAAGTTTTAGTTGTTTTATTAAAATATTGTTTATTTAGAAAATTTATCATAAATTAGTTTTAATGATATAATAGATAATACAATTATTTTATATTACATTATTTTACCCTTCCTAAAATTATGGGTCATAAAATTTTACATTTTGATTGGCATTTTGTTACATCTTGCACCTTGTCTGTGTTGTATAAAATGCCAATAAAAATGAAAAATTTTAGTTATACTAATTAAAGTAGAGCTGCAAACAAAATCCCGCTAATTTTTAAATAAAATAAAATATTACCGACTGAGAAATAGTTGGACAAATCCCTTACCCATATGCAAATCCCATATTTCTTCAAAGAAACGCAACTCTTAATTATCCTTCCTCCATGCTTTGGGTCAACCTTTGTCAGAAGTGTATGTTTTGCCAACTCATAAATCTAATAATTCACCAAGTTAGTCTATTTTTCGCGACAAATAATTATTCGTTTATCTCTTAAACATTATTAGGTTGTATAGGCAACACTATATTCGTTCATTGCTTAAACATTATTAGGTTGTATAGGCAACACAATTTACGTTTGTGTTAAGCTTCTTATTCTATATTGTAATTTAGATAAAGAGACAACTGTACAAGTTTGATTTAATTTCATTTATTCTTTTTTGTCCTTGATTATAATTCTATTCGAATCAGTTTTATTTATTGAATGGATGTGAATCTGTGCAGTCTGAACCTCACGACCCGAGAACAAGATAGCTCATGCTAGGCAAAGAAAAATAGAATTTATACTTTATCAAAATAGTGAAAAGTAAGTAATTATTTTAGCATATATCACCTAACTTAGTGGCACTTCAAATATCATAATTTATGTCATCCAACATAGGCGTACACATAAATTTAAATAATTGAAACATAATAAATGTTACACCACTCAGGGATATATCATAACAATAGATACTTAAAGCTGTTGAGTTGCTGTTCATTTTGTCTTAACAGATAAAAAGAGAATGTGAACCAAACAAATTATTATATTACTTTCGTTTCTAAAAATATTAGTTACATATTTTTCAGACAATACTCATACAATTCCACAACATTTTCTTCAATCCACTGATTTGTTTTAATAGTATCCCATAATCGATCAAAAATTTTAATTCTATAATCTTTTTCGCTCCAAAATTTCGTAACCTGTTCCGGATTTGATAATATGTTCGAATCAGAGGGAAGCGCATTCAGATAGTGATAAAGTGTGGATAAATATATTGCAAAAATTTTTAAATCTTCCTTACTTTCTAACAAATCACCATGTGAAATAATTTTTTCTATACTAATGCTATGTTTTTCTAAAATTAATTTTAATTCAGTGTAATACTCATCAAGGAGGGCGTCTGTAAGTTCTTTCCTTGATTTTTTGTTAATGTTGATATGCAAGAATAGCAAAATATCCATAACGGGTGGTACATACCGAATAAGTTGGAAATCTAACAGTAAACAATCTGTAGGATGATGTTTCTGATCACATTTATAAAAAATATTATTCCACCAAATATCTCCGTGAGTAACCACATTTCTAAATTTCTCAGATGTTTTAACTTTATTATAAATTTGTTTTAAACTTCTTCTGGCTCTAGTTTGAAATTCTTCCATAGTAATATCTTTAACAATATGAGGAAATTTCTTCAGATATTCCAAAATATGTTCCACACTTACAGCATTAAAGCTATTTTCTATAATATGAGTTTCCGATATCATTTCTGGTAAATATTCATCGATTCTTATTGTACTGCCCAATTTTTCACTCAATTTCTCTTCTAATAATATAGAACCCGCATGCATTTTTGCTAATCGTTTTACAGTTAGAGAACAATATTCATGGTCCAAATTAGTGAATATTTTAAAAGAAAAGTAACCTTGAATCGACAAATCTTCTAGAACTACAAACTTTTCAGAAACTAAATAACATTTAGGTAAAAACTTCCAATCTTCTGTCCCAATTTTATCGAGTAGATCGATGAATTTGGTGTAAAATAGTTTTTCTTTAACAAAAGAGTTAACTGCGACACTTTGATGCATATCATCATCTCCTTTAGGTAGAAATTTAATAAAAAAATTACTAATTGTTTTTTGACCGTTCAATCTTGTACAAATTTTTAAATTCGCATATACACCTAAAAAACCAATTTTAGCAGTAATTGGTATTAATTCGAAATTTATATATTCAAAATCTTGCTTATGGAACTTCTTTTTAATAATTTCATAAGTATCTTCACGTAAAATTTCGGGATTCTGCAAATATTGTATAAACTCTTCAATGTCATATTTATTATTATGTTCTAATACTGCTTCAAGCTTCACAAAAGGTATGAAAGTCCTTGTAATGAATTTAAAATCATCTCTTGAAATAACAGAAGAATGTTGATTTAGTTGAATCAAATTTTGAACCAGTAAATCATAAGTTGTTTCTAAAAGATGGTTTAAGTACAAAAATCTCTCTTCTTGTGTAGTGTTTGCAAAAATTAATTTAACTGCTTTGTATATAATTTTTTTTACTATATTTTCTTCTAATGTTTTTAGTTCTTGATTTCTCTGTTGTAGCAACTTTTTGGCACATATTTTGAGTTCTTCCAGATAACTAGTGTTGAACACATTTTTCTCTATTACATCACTCAGTTCTGTTACTTTATTTAGATCAATTTGCGTGTAGTTTCTTTTTGAATTCCTTCGTTTTATTTCATCTACTACTAAGGTTTGTATAATGGCATCAATAATCATCGTAACTCTTATCAGTTAACTAAAGCAAAATGCGTTTAAATTTTAGATATCTGTTATCTTGATACATGCATTAATACGAATGGCTACTGCACTGCATTGCACATTGCTGAATTCGATTTCCAGAATAATAAGATAATGGTTTCTTTCGGTTATCAATAGTTTTGTAAAAAGTTTATCACAAAGTTTACTTCTATATACCATTGCGTAATTTTATTTTATTTGTGTTTTCTCTGCATTTGTTTATTGACAAATGTTGAAGGTTGTCGATCGAAATGAAATGATTTATACGATGTGTCCTAATGTACAAGCAATATTCTGGATTATACTGGAGAATTTCGGGGAGAGATTTGATGCTTGAGTGTCGGAAGAAGTCGAAGGTTTTTTTGGGGTATTTTTCAAGTTGCGGAAAGATGGTAGCTTTTGGTGGAATAACGCAAAGAGAGATGTGTTTAACATCAAAGGAAGATGATCAGAGATAATTGTCTCTCACTGGACGGCGAGTAAGCTTTGGCAATTTGGGCAGAGGTGGGCATTTCTGACTTTTTCAGTCAGCTGGCTTGTGATGCTACTCGTCGTTGGATTGGTTTTTTTGGCACATCTGGAAGCACAATGTTCTAAGCTGGTGCACTGAGTGCAATATTTGGGAATAGGGGGAAGTAGGTGTGCATTTGAGTGCATTTGAGGCTTGCAAGAGTGTGTTCCGCCGACTGTTGTTTCCTCTACGAATGGACTACTATACAGGGTGTCCCGAAATTAGACGGTCATATTTTAACATCATAATCTACATCCTAAAATAGGAGTAAAAGTTCATATAAACATAGGTCCAAAAACGTTTCTTTTCCGAGATACAGGGTGTTAAAAGTAAAGTCCGGATGACACTCTTTTGTAAATATTTTCTAAACATTTAAAGATAACTAAGTGAAATTTGGTACAAATGCTTACCTTTTTACGCTCTATTTAATGGACTAAATCCCAGTTTTTGATCATCTTCACAGGTGGGTAAATTAGGGGGGGCTTAGGGTAAAAAGTTTTTTTTGTTGACAGTTTTTAACATTTTTGACTATAAA